GGTTCCAGGTCACCTTTAATCTTCATCAGAGGTAACATGAACGCGCAGCGCTATATCCACGAAGTTCTAGAACCCCATCTTTTACCATATCTTGACACCCTGGCAGATCCAACTTTCCAACAAGGTAATGCCCGACCACATGTTGCAAGAGTCACAATAGACTTCTTTCAACATAATGATGTCACATTGTTACCATGGCCACCAAGATATCCCGACTTATCCCCAATTGAGCACGTGTGGGATATGATGGGTATTATATATATACAATTTGCAACGTCCTCCTCAGACTCTAGAAGCACTTCGAGAGGAGTTGGTGGTTGCCTGGAATGAGATACCACAGGAGGACATTGACCACCTGATCAGAAGCATGCCTAGGCGCGTTGGAGAATGCGTAGCACATCAGGGTGCATCCACACATTATTAAAGGTCAAAGGGCTTTAAAGTAGTGCAATCATTTGGAAATTTTTATCATTTACTTATTATGCTTCATTAAGTACTTATACAATATTTTATTAAAATAAAACCATTTAAACTGGGTGTTCGGATTTATATGTCACTTAGTATACAATCAAAACGTGTCCCATCAATCTTTAGAGTATGTGATGCAATATTTAATACGAAAACATTTTAAGTAACACAGCGAGCAGCAATTGGCTACAGAAGATTATCAAAAACTGGTTCAGCAAAGCACAAAAAGTGTGTTTTCTCAAATGATGTTCGTATTGGTTATCTGGTTGGCCAATCCCAGTGAATCACTATTTCTCTCTGTGGCTGATTCTTTCTAGTGGGCGTCTACAAGTGATAAGAAGATTGGAAACAAGTTTTTACGTTCAGTGTTTTTTGTGCGAAATCTGAACGAGTGTAATTTCCTAATAGCTCTTATTGGTCGGCCAATCAGAGGCGTCTAAAGATTTTTTATTCTTAATCGTAGATATGTTAAGGCTTTGTGGTATGACGACTTGGTACTGGCATTGCAAATGGACTGGTAATAGGTTCTTGTGGAGGGAACGTGACTTCTATGAAGCAATTGCTTTGCGACTGCTCAGCTGTTATGTTATTAGAAGATTTCATCTGTAATTAATATTTTGGGATCGGTGAGACCTTCCTGGAAAGTATTATTTCACCAGTCTGTTTTAGTCAACGAATTCAGACTAGGTGGAAGGAACCAGTCAAAGATTTGTTTGTCTCCTAATTCTCATAGTTTGTAGTGATGACAAAGTGCTGACTGCAAGTGCACTTAACATTAGTCAGGATAAAAGTGACTATAGTCGAAATCACGAAATATGACGATTACGTCATAATTTTAGTCTGTAGCAATTTGTAGGAATATTTTTAATGAAGTTTCCGATATGTTAGACAGAGACAAACAGAATTTTATTGTCTAAACAAACTGTATTGCTAATTTGCATGTATCCGACCAAGATAGGCAATGTTTTCATGTTGCATGATCGATCATATTTGAAAGATGAATAGTTAGGTTATGTTAAAGCAGGTTAGGTTGTTTTCGAATAATACTTTGGTCTTTGGTGTGCCTGTCTTAAGGTATTCTACTCATAACTGTTTTTTTTTAAACAAAAACTTCCCACTAAAATTATTATTAAGGTATCACTCAAAATCATGAAATAAAATGAAAATAAAAATAATCAGTGAAATAACCTAACTTCGCAAAATCATAATATAAATTTGTTGTCGTTATGTTCCTGACCATCATGATTTTATCTTCGACGTATGTATAGTCAACGCCAAACAAAGTGGCGTGCACGTCATCAAGGTGGGTGTGTTGAAAAATTTACATTGTTGCCAAACTTTTTGTAAAATAATAAAATTTATTATTTACATATCTAGGTTTATAAGCAATATTAACCTCAAATGAGAACAAAAATAATAGTATAATAAAATTATAGTTCTGTACTTGCATAATCATTAAGTATGACAATTATTGATCAGATGACACTATGAAACTACCATATTTAATTGATAGCTTAAAGGTACTGAATAAAAATCCAAATGGGGTCCTCCAAATTTTATGCATGGTATTTATTTTACAGAATTCATACAGAAAAATGCATTCTAAAATTAGGTAAGCTACTGGTGTAAGCTTTTTCTGTACAATAAAGTTAGTCGGAGTTTCTTTCTTCAGCGCTGTCTGAATCTGAATCTTCATCACTCTCAAAGTTGATTATTAAAGGTTCGATGTCTGGTCGATCAAAAATTCGTTCTCTTTCATACCATTTAAAAATTTCTTGCTCAGTATGTCGAACACTATTTTTCCACATGTCTGGGGTAACCGTTTGTAGAGCCTCGTTCCACATATCCAAACAGTCTTTTTCACTGTTACCATCTCTACCAATATGTCTGTTATAGTAACCTTTTGCTATGCCCCAAATTAACTCAATAGGGTTAAATATACAATGGTAAGGAGGCAGACGAAGAACTTTGTGCCCATGTTGTTCCGCCAATTCATCAATCACGTATATTTTAGGTGGTTTGTTTCTAAAAAAGCAGTTATTTTAAGAGTAGGAATAAACAAAAGAAATATAAACTGTCGACCAAAATATATATAATTAAGAAGCATTATGTACCGAGCAACAATACTCAATAGCTCTGTTTTAAACATTGTGTTTAAAAATGGTATGTTTTGATTTGTCAACCAGTCTTGGATATTTTTTTTTTGTCCATGCATTGTTGGGCACTTTGTTCAATATCATGCTGTGATAAGGGGCGTTATCCAGTATAATCATAGATGGACTCTCCAATTTTTCTAATAACTGATGTTGAAATCATTTCAAAAAATTGTCCTGGTTCATCTCTCCATGGTAATCGCTCAATTTGTTTTCGAAGAAAATATCGCTTCACTACCCTCAATAAACCCATTTTCATTTCCAGCATGTAATATAATGTATCTAAAATATATTAGTTTTAAATTTTATAGTACAAATTGTGTAAAAGTACATACCTTTTACCATCTGTTTTAATAGCTTTCACGCTTTTTTGGTTTCCATTTTGCCAAGAGCGACCTATGGTCCCATTTTGAAATATCCAAGTTTCATCGAGGAAGACAAACTGGTATAAGGCCTCAACCTTGGCTTGATTGTATTGCCTTAGAAATTCCACCCTTTTCAAAGCTATACTTGGTAGTTCCATGAGCCCTCGTCGCGGATTGTCCTTAAGCCACTTAAATCCAAGATCTCTAAGCAACCGCCTTAAAGACGTGGCACTACCATCAAATAATGCCCTATCTCTTAATCGAGACCATAAAGTTTGTATCGTAACTTGTTCTTCTGAAACCATGTGTAATATGACATTATAATTTAGTTAACAAATTAATGCAAATTTCTGATAAGTTATTATAATAAGATCTTACTTTTGTGATACATTATATATCACTTCTCGAATGGCACTTGTATCCAATGTCGCTGTGTTGGTTACACGTTTAATATAACTCCGCTTTTTCTTGGGCGATTCTAAATTTGCATCACTTTTCACACCCTCGGAAATACGACTAACTGTCCTTAAACTAATTTTTAAAGCAGCAGCAACACGCTACAAAAAATGAAATAAAATTTCACTATTATTAATATATATTACATATAATTATTAGTTACCTACCTCTTGAACAGCATTTAAAGGCAACAAAGGCCCGTTGTTGTCCCTTTCTTGCTCAAAGTAGTGCATTAACGAGGCCACGAGTTCCTTACACCGACTATTTAACTGTTTGGGCATCTTTATATACCAAAATTGCCTTTATCTACTCGTAAAATGAATAATTTTGTTTTGAAACAAACAGTTGTTGATTTACAGTATGCGGGGCCAAAGGATTTATAAAGATTTGAAATGCCACAAATTGATTCAGTGTCAAAATTAATACAAATGTCAGTTCCCAGTTTAAATAAGTTTCAAGGTGACAATGTGTCAACGCTGCGAAATCGGTTTAGTGCGTTTTACATGTCGATAAGTGATTGGAGCGTTTGCAAAACATTTTATTTCGCATAATGCGTCTAAATTTATCAGAAAGCAACTTATGTGATATTTTAATAACAATGTTTATATGACTATTAACCATAATAAGAGAGTAATGACCATTTTACAATTTATATATCACATTAATATGAAACTGCAATAGAGCAATTGTTTGTGATAAGAAACCTAGGCATTAGGTCGGGGAATTTTTATCGTGATGACGTGCACGCCACTTTGTTTGGCGTTGACTATACGTTGATTACTTCGGTACAATTTATGATATGACGTAATAGTCATCTTTCGTGAGTTTGACTATACAATTAGAATTGACATAAGTTAATTTTTTGACACGTCTCTCATTAAATTTGTATATTATTTGTTTTTTCAAAAGAGTGAATATTTGCAGATAATTGTGGCGTTAGACGATTTCAAGACATGGTACTTCTTACATAATTTGCAAAGAGCAGCACAAGCTTAATGAAGGTAGATGTTTTCACCGGTAATTATTATTATTGTGTTGATACACTGCTGGTAGGTATTTTGCGCAATTTTGGCGACAAACTTTGCAATTACATTCTAAACCTTCCAATCTATTCGGGATACAAGGTAAGAGGCAAAGAAGGAGAAAATGGGAATAGGAAAGAGCAGGAAGCAAGTATTTCAAGATAGGACAAGATTGGGCTTTGTTGAAATAATTCGTTAAAATTTAGAACGATCCAACTAAAGGGTTTGTTGAAATGTGGTTGGTTCTAATCTGAAGCTGAAACTTGTAACTTAAAAAGTGATATTATGTCGGTTTTTTTGTTGACATTGTCGTTTTTCCACAATGTAACTTCTTTTTATGTCATTATGTAGGTTTTCCTACAAGATGTCAACTTGGATCTAGCTGTCGTTCGTTTCATGCTTACTTATAGCAAGCGCGGAATGAACTGTTTACAAACTAGCCTACCTAGTCAACAAGTTGACATTTTATCTTTTTTTTTTGTCGTAATAACCCTGCAGGTAGTCCCGTCAGGTTTCTGTAAAGTGTTTCATTGAAGACGTGTTTTAACTTTTCCAATTTAATAAACTCATTTTATAATACATTTAAACACTGGGGTCTCTATATTGCGTATGTCCTGGGTACTTGTCCTTATACTTCAGTCCGGTGACGATGGTCGAGCTTCCGTTGAAGGCGGTTTGACCACCAAATCGAGTGTCCTTGTCTGAAAGAGAATAAATACCCTCAAATATTTTATACAAACCATACTTGATATAAAAATGCTAGGCCAACATTCTTCTCCACCAAGGTATGTAATGTACGTTTATTTCGAATGAAAAACTCAAACACTAAGGCCCGTATCGCCAGTCGTTCCTACAATTGTAGGGCGCCTTTATGGCCTCCTTGATTGTCATAGTTTTCTACTTCTCCGTGTCAGAACTCTATTTTGAGAATATGTCACAAACATCTATTTGCATCAAATTGTGCTTGCTTTTGAGTTATATCATGTTTTATCAGCCTGAAATTTCCTACAATTTAAAAAGAAAACATATCTTCACAATAGGAGGGCGCTGATGCTGACACGGGACAAGTGTAATCTAGAAATTTTTGAAGGAGAGAAAGGAGTATGACAATCAAGGAGGCCATAAACGCGCCCTACAATTGTAGGGACGACTGACGATACGGGCCTAAGGGCCGTATCGTCAGTCAGTTTCCATTGCTTTCTACTGTTCCGTGTCAGCTCTATTAGGAGGTTATGTTACAAATATCTATTTGCATCAAATTGTTCATGGTTTTGACTTATATCATCTGTTATATCAGCCTGAAATTTCAAAAAGAAAACAGTCTCACAATAGGAGAACGCTGACACGAAATAGTAGAAATCTAAAAATACCCCAGTCTTTCTGAAGGAGAGAAAATCCTATAGAAATCAAGGAGGCCATAAAGGCGTCCTACAATTATTGTAGGAAAGACTGATAATACGGCCTTAAGAGATAGTTTTAGTAGAATCAACGTGGCTATGAGACTCAAATTATTTGCAAAATCTGCGACTTACTATTTTTGGCAAAACACAGAGACTTACTGGGACAAACGTCACTGATGGGCCATAAGTGTTTCAAACACAATTTTTTACATTTGGGTGTAACAAAATAGGTGAACTATCGGAGACGATCAAGATTAAACCCATTATGGAAAAGAAAGATTCACGGTTACATGATAAATCTGATTTTTTTGATTTTTGATTTTTACAAATATTCACCCTCCAGTTTAGATTTTATACTGTACTGCTTTGAAGCTACTTCGAGGAAGCAGCTAGATTTATTTAGCATTCTACAATGTTAATTTAGTATAATCATTCTTTTACCCATTTTTTAATAAATTTTTCGCTATGCATTTTGTATATTATTAAAGTGATTTTTTAATTTTACCCCAAATATTTTAAATATTTCTAAATTTGAACACTGTTTAATGTCATCATTGAATCTATTAAATTCGGATACCCTCTTTTGAAAGAAAAAATTATTTGCTGTTTATACTATACAGGGTGTGAACGTTATGGTAGTCATTATTGAAATGGGTAATAGGGGGTGGTCAAAAAGTTCATATGACCCATGGTCCAAAAGTCAATAGATTTTTGTCTAAATCGCTTTATAGTTTACAACTTTAAGCGCTTTATATCGACCACAATCACCACAATCTTACTATTTTTTATAATCTAATCTAACACGTTTTCAAATTAACAAATAAATGGCATTAAGTTTTTCTCGTTAAGCCAACATTTGTAGTCAGTAAGTAAGTTTCATTGAATTAAATATTTAAAACACACATGACACCAGCGCGTCGTCATCACTCTTATACGAACCGGCAATCGATCGCAAATGGTAACAGTGGTTAGTTATCGGGAGTGTTTTGTTTTCGTTTGCGTACGTCGTCGTGCTTGTTTACAATGTTCTCGAATCAAGAGTTCGCCGACATGTTGTTAGTTTACGGTGAAGCTCGTCAGAATTCAAATCTTGCAGCTCAAATTTATCGCCATAAATTTCGCCAACGGGTACACTCAGCCGGAAGGACATTTGTGCAAGTGTACCAAAGACTTCGAGATACAGGAAGTGTTCAGCCCACTAATATTCGCACTCGGGAAAGACAGGTTACTGTAGAGCAGGAGGAACAAATTTTAAATATCGTGGAAATCAATGCAGATATCAACACTCGGGAATTAGGCCGCCGCGTAAGACTATCACATACCATAGAATCCTACGGGAAATTTTGCTTTATTCCTACCATGTACAACGAGTGCAGGCCTTGTTACCAGAAGACTATCCTCGCAGACTAACATTCTGTCAGTGGTTTTTGTACAAAAACATTGAAAATCCGGATTTTTTTAAAAACATTCTAGCGACGGACGAATGTACTTTTACGCGAGGCGGGATATTAGATTTCCGTAATACTCACACGTGGGCCCAAGAAAATCCTCATACCATTCGTGAAGGTCATTTCCAACAACGTTTTAAAATAAATATTTGGGCGGGTATTCTTGACGATCAGGTAGTTGGCCCTTTCGAGTTACCCCCAAAGTTGTCAGGAGAAGGATACCTCAGCTTTCTAGCCAATAACCTACCAGAACTTTTGGAACAGACCTTATACAACATGCCATCACAACGGAGACCGAATTTGTGTTTTTTTCATGTCGGGGCACCACCACACATTTTTAGAGGCGTCATTCAGTATTTGAATGAACATTATCCAAATCGCTGGATCGGTCGAAATGCTCCTGATCCTCGAAAATGGCCAGCAAGATTTCCTGACCTCAATCCGATGGATTTCTGGTATTGGGGAGAACTTAAAGGGATGGTTTATGGGGCTGGTCCAATAACAACTGAAGCACAACTTCGCGAAAAAATTTTGAATGCGGCTGAAATAATAAATGGACAACTTCAAGGAACTAGAGTAAGAAAAGCCAAAAATAACAAACTCCATCTTTATTAACACTGCGTTGCGTCTGGCTTTGCGGCGTTGTCAGATTTTGTTTTACTTTAATGTCGCTTTTCTCTAAAAAAAATGCCGTTTTGACCCCCATGTTATATGAAACTATTTGCTTCTTTTAACACCCTCTATCACCCATTTAAATAATGACTATCATAACGTTTACACCCTGTATATTACAATTTTGCAGATGAACATCTATAACGCCTCTAGTCTCATAGTTATGATTAAATTTGTGATATTTTCTGAATGTGGTGGTAATAAATGATTTTTTATTTGAATATATTGAGAGAATATAAATGAGAACTAAATAATTAAATAACATATACATATGAAATGTTTAATCTTAGTTTTTTTTATTTTAAATGATTCTCCTAGCTTTATTTCGTAGAATCTGTAATTTTGAAATATGTTTTCATTTGCTTTAAACAAAATAGTTGAACAATATAAAAAATGGTACAAATCTTGGAATTGAATTTATGGTCTCCTTGATTTTCATAGTATGTTCTCTCCTTCAGAAAGACTGGGGTATTTCTATATTTCTACAGGTCCGTGTCAGCGTTAGCGCCCTCCTATTGTGGAGTTATGTTTTCTTTTAGAATCGTAGGAAATTTCAGGCTGAATAAAACAGATGATATACGTCAAAAGCATAAACAAATTCATGCAAAAATATATTTGTGACCTAACCTCAAACTGGAGTGCTTACACGGAACACTTGAAAACTATGAAAATAACTACTATGTAAAATAAATACTCATCTATAATAACCATATCAACTTTTCAACATTAGGTAGTTAAAATATAGGTAAATTTTATTTCTTAGACCAATTGAACAAACATATTTATAGATATAGAACGTGCAGAGAAGTATAAGACGACATATTTCAATCTGAAAAAATATTTTCAAGTTTTTAGTATGTTTCTAATTACGGCTAAATGAAAGCTTGTTTTTGAAAACGTCTTTTTTTATTTCTTCAGTTTATCCACACCTATCGTCCACTGATCGAAAGTACCAAAATACGTAAGTTGAAATTAAAACTCCTTAGCAAGCAAATATTACCTGGATGGAACCTGTGGTAGTCAAACTCCACATGCAGATTCTCCGGGAGTTCCATGTTCCGCATCTTGTCCAACGGAGTTCGCGTATCTACAGGGGTGAGGTAGAAAGTTTTCACATCCTTCAACGTCTGGATGGTGTACAGCAAAGAATTAGGAATACTGTGCCCTGTTTTGTCGTAACAAGCCTTGAACACTTTGAATCTTTGGGAAATGTCGCTCAGCTTGAAGTCTTCCTTGGCGTGGCCCAGAACGGTTTGGAAAACGGCATCCAGAAGTTGATGGACATCTCTGGGCGGGGTATAATCTTTTTGAGGGCGTAGAAATCTTAAAAATAGAAAATTATGATCGCATATACATATTTACAAAATAGGGATAAAACGTTTTTTTGATATCTGTAGATATTATGAAAGTCCATGTCGCTTGTGGGTATTGTCGCCGAGTGATCTCAGTAATCGTTGAGGTGACCTTGACGAAATATTTTGGGCATATATTTGGAAGGCAGAGCAGAGGTAATGACTCTTCTGATGGTCAGTCTCGGGGCCCTTTCTCACTGACCCATCCTAACCATGCCAAACATCGTACACCCAGAACTGGCCGGTAAAACCACTCCTTTCTCCCAAAGATTTTCGGGTTCTATTAACTTTTGGCAGTTCAAAAATCGGATTAACCGTGTCTTTCAGCTCGTCATTGCAGTCGCGATGCCTACGCGTCTTTAGCTATTAAAAAAGAAATTCTCTACAATTTACGTATCTTAAATTCATAATACAATTATTTTTAAAATTGCCTTTCTGCTAGTTTTCCAGAATTTAAGATAAAATGGCATCTACAAATGATGTGAAAGCGGAAAAAAAATATAAATTTAACAATTCCGTATGACCTAATTCACTGGGAATCTAACAATTTATTGACTGAAATACTTTCAGTCATCGACCTATACTTAAACCATACTGTGTGACTATTTTTTAGACGTACTTTAATCAGAAAAAAATGGTAAAAAATGAATGCTTCAATATTTATCCTTGTTCTTGCTGAAACTAGTGTAAATTTGTAAATGGATATAATACTATTGATTACCCGATATGCCATAAAGGCATTTATACGAAAAAAAACGTATTGCATTCGACATCGTTTTATATCCAGAAAAACTGAATGTTATCATACATTAATCGTTTTTATGTTAATGCAAAGCCTTCCAGATGGATCCAGTATCGTATTTGGCACACTGAAAAAGCATTGATTACAGATTGGCTAGGCGCATAATTTGAATTTTGCGATTTGGATGTGTGCAATCTCTAAATATTTGATGCAGTGGCTCAGGTATAACCGCCTGTTCTAATAATCCGGTCATATTAGGATCGGTTTTCGAAACGCTACTTTCCATCAGTTATGAGTCCTTTACAAAAATCTTGAGAATATAATATGAAAGTAAAAACAGAATTTGCTCTAACAAAACATATAAGATTATTATTTCAATGTTGAATCAGAAGGAAATTTATAAAAATAAAATCTAAGATATTAAAATTCTGGAGTAACAGTGAGAAGAATTGGAGAGCCCTGTGTCCGTTACACCATTGATCAACATATTCCACCAGAAAAAAAACTAATCCAATTGGAAGCCGTGCGTCAAATACTTGACGGTTTCATTTAATAAAACACCCTGCCCTAGTTCATATTTTTCCCGGAAAGAACAACTGTCATTTCGTGACTTGTGCTGTCATCTGTCAATGATAAATATTTTTTTACTTCCTGGTCATTTTCCAGGTCAACTTCTGTGAAATGTGACACGATCGACAGTTGGTAACACTAGCACGGGCTTTTCCAGGCCGAACGATATTTTTGAAATGAATTTTCAGAGGAACTAATTCAAAATGCGCACCAAGGGAACGTGAATATATAAACTGGTTTTGTCAAAAGAACGTAAAATATGGACCAGTTGCACCAAAGAAAAATGCTATTACACATACCACTGTGTGCCTATCAACTGCCGTCTTTAGGCCTCAACGTTACCACCTCTCGAACTATGACGATGTAAATTGTAAGTGAAAATCCAAATACAGCATATTTTTGGAAAATACGTTAATTAATAGTTAAACGTAAAAATAGATGCTTTGTAATTTTACATATCAGATCATCAATTCCCACTAATCATTAGCTATCATTAACGAAAAACGTTGATGATGTTTAAATACTGAAAAGTTTACAAAAACAATTTCGATGAAAAATTATTATCTAAATCTAAATGATTTCTAGAATGACTGGGCTATGAGCACTACGCGCAGTATCGAACTTATTGACTCTGTACGGTGCTGCCCCCTGACAGGTTATTAAGTAACTCGGGAGAAAGCAATGGCTCCCGATAGTCGACAGACGCAGTTTTAGGTGATCTAAATCGAAGTACACACCCTTTGGCGGCCAAAGATTGGGCCGTGGAGTCGATTTTCGGGCCTACTTTTCTGTCGATTCCTTTTTTCTTCTCGGCTTTCGTGGCGTAAGCGCGTGGAACGACCTGAAACAGTTGAGAAATGTCTCGTCAAGAAACAAGTGCAACACTTCGTGATGAAATACAGACGAAATACAAGACTATGCAATAAAGTGAACTTCAAGCTGGATTGTGACATTTGACTAGGTGCTTACGGAGGACTAGTGTAAAAATTCAGTGGTTATATTTACGTTTTTTGACGATATAAGTTGCCCTGTTTTGAAAACGCCATGCCTGAGGAACACCGCCATGTTTTTCGATTGACTGTACAAGCTACGACGTACGTCGACACGGCAACAGCCGACCTCAGCGCGATAGGTGTACGCGGCGTATGTCTGAACTAATCCCGTATTGACAATCGTCTCTGTTTTCTACCGAGCCGATTTTAGTTCAGCTTGTTGTTTCATAGTGTCCGCCATTTTGCAGTCGCATTAGAAAGGTGAAAATCTCGGCAAATGTAAGCCTATTCGATGCGGTTTTACGCCCTCGGTAACGTGCAGTGTTGTTTTTATGTGTCGTGAAAGAAACCCTCCGATAATGGATCAGATATGACGCATCCAAACTTTCAAACTAACGGAGCTAGTTTAGAAGACTGCCACACTAATTTCTTTGCCTTGGTAAGTGAAGTTTACAGGTTACAACAAAACAACGCATTTCGAATGTGTGTCACGCCGCGGATGTATTTTTACCGGATTTAAACGCGCTGTGACCACGCAAATGCTTTCACAAATCGTTTACAATCAACGTCTCAGATTTATGAGTGCTTTTCTTAGATATTCAAACTTCAAACCGTTGTTGAAGAAGTAGTACCTTAAAGTATATTTTGCTTGCATACATAATAGAAATCGCAACGGCTGGTTTCTAATTTATACACTGTTTGACAGATAAAAATATCAGCACGATATCAGTGATGGTGTTACAGATAGATAACCTTGATACCCATATTATTATTATTAGCCGTTAAACTGAATTCATAAAAAGACCAGCGTCAACTGCTTTAAATAGCATTAAATAACGTTTCCGAACGACTTTCCCTCCAACATTTCTCTGGAAAAACTTAAAAAGAATCATTGCGGGTGTTCCATAATCTAGTGTGAACGAACGCAAGTTCGGGTAACGACGTTGCCAACGTGTGCAGGTAACGGTCTTGATTCTTGAATGTTTCTCTTCATGGATATCTAGATCGCACGCTCGGTCTCCGTTTTCTAAGCCTGCTAGACCTGTCTTTATGTACAACGACCTTGTATATACTGTGTAATAGCGGCAAAGAACTATTTTCCTCGGTTTTAAAAACGATTGTTCGTGCTGCGTATTTTTTAAAAAATCCGCATTGGAATAAGCAACCGCTTATCTCGCTGATAATGATAAAATTTAAAAACAAGTGATAGATTTGGTTCGAGCGTTGATAGTTGTTTTTTGTTTGAAGATCTAAAAATACCTTGGTTTAAAAGTGGACAATTTAAATCGTTTGTTCCAAAGGACGATAAAAGCTAACTTGACTTTCTTAGACGTTACAGTTTGTGCGCAACTAGAGTTTACCGCATTGTACAATGTACACAGATAATTGAAAATCCTTGAGTTTGTTTACAAAATCATGCTAAATATTTTGTTACCAATTCTTTAAATATTCTGAATGTTTATTAATACAGTTCAAGGTTATTTTTTCATCTGTATTTGCTGACAAGGGTATCTTGCTGCTCAGGTATATATTCTCAGTTTAGTATGAAGTAGTATTTTTGTATTTTTGAAAAAATCGTCAACAATCGTGACCTCATTAATAAGTTCTTTGATGAATTAATTTTGTTCTTTGTTTTATTGTCCTATCAGAATTTGTTCAAAAATAACCCTTATTGATATTAATTTGAATTGCGAGTTTCTTAAAACTTTTTATGAAACATACATGCCATGGTACATAATTATAACTTTACCTACCTTCACAGATTTTTCTCAGTCTTAGATAAAGTACCATGTGCTGGAATCTTATCATTAATCCATATAAGCTATTATATCTTTTTATGACATTCCTCTGGTAGATAAGATCTGTTAGTTTATCTATATAGATAATTTTAAAATAGCTTTTTTTAATAAAATATTGCATGATACAGATTTACCAGAATTTCTTTCTAAATTATACTTCAGATTCTTTTAATTTTGAAAATGATTGATTTTAACTACACTTGACAGAATGTTAGTAAGCGCCATATAGTATATGTATACATTTTTGCAATAATCGAGGTAATATGTGATTTCTTTGGGATTCTTACTAGCTGATTTTTTCAATAACTTCCCAGTTCATTATGTCTAAATACACAATCACTAACAATATTCTTGAAAATATCAGAATCATACTTGCACATTGTTGATACGAGTGTAAATTAAGAATTCTTGATTTTCTTTGAAAGCAAAAAAAAAATATTACGGGAAAATGACAATTCTGAAGGACTAACTATGTGAGTCAAAGGAAATTGGAGGATAACAAGTATTAAAATATTGAATTTTATCAAATTGAGATAAAATAGTATACCATGGAGTTTTCACATCAATATTTTGATCTTTCTTTCATTAATGTTGATCTCAAATTTTTTTAATACAATAATGTGGAACTTTTGGAACATTAACTTCAGCTTAGCGATTGTAACTATCGGAATCTATTTTAGAATAGAGGGCGCACTTCATTGGATTCAAGGTCATCAGCCTTTTGATTACAGTGGCAGTGATTGTAATTGTGTTTACTTTTTATAGTGAGTGTAATGGGATACCATCAGACTTTCCCTATGTGCCTCTCAAATCAAGAGATGTGTTTATATTTAGTAGTAGGAATGCACCACTGTTGGGTCTGTCGCCTCTTCTTGTCCTTGTATAAACTTGTTCCCAGCAACCGGCGGCATGTGCGAGTGGCAAGCATACCCGCCCGAACAAACATGGGCGGAGCAGAAAGTTTTCATTCAAGTCTTATTGATCATTTTTGTTTGAAGGAGAAACAAGTTTATAGTTTCTTTTTCATGTGTCACTTTGAACACTGATTCTGTGGTTCACAATTTTTCCGTCCAATAATTGAAAACTACATTCAGCGCAACATGAGACTTTACTGACGTTTCAGCTGAAAACGACCGGTATTGATTTTAAGTACACGTCTCAGATTTTTTTTATATTTTTCAGATAACTATTTAGACTTGGCCTATCCCCCATTTTCAGCTTGAAGTCGACTTCTGGAATATTGAATTGAATTCTATGAAAAACTATTTTGAGATTTGTGGATGCTTCTCATGACCTTCGATTTATCTTGTTTTATGTGATTTATATTTCAGTAACCAACCAATAATGCCCTGAGAATCCAATTGGACCTTAAAATTTGCATACTTTGCATGATCTTGTGAATAATTTTAGGGTTTGCTACCCTTCACTCTTCAAAAAGTTTTGAGGGCAGGTGTACACTTTTGCAAAAGGTTATCTTTTGCGGGTGATTTTTGTTGGATCGCATATTTGGCGACTCCATTCCTTTGTGTTTGGAAGCGCAGGTTCAGCTTTTTTCAATCATGTTCAATAGTGTTACCATTGTAAATGGTAAGATGTTTTTTTTTTCATCATTTTTGATTATTTGCTTAAGAGATTATTATAACTTATTAAAGAAGTTATAACCTAAGGAAACATGGATATTTCCTGTCCTTATTTGCAAAATTAGCCCTGGTTCAATTATTAAAAATACAGACACAGCATGGTATTCACTTTATTGCTGTAAACTTTGGAAATTAATTACGGAAATTTAGACGTCTTATTTCTTTCAGGTATTTTGGAATGGGCAAAATTGATTGAAGATTTTGCGATTTTGGACAACATACGGTTCCGAAAAATGTTGGTTTTTGTAATTGAAATGGAAATAAATTTAATCTGTGATTGAAAATGAAATACCTTTTAAACCCCGTTTAAGCTTTCTTCTAGTCGTCGCGTATTGACCTTTGAAGATGGACTCATCAGTCAGGATGGCAACAATACATCAAATCTAGAACATCAATCTTGTGGCATGGATAGTTGTATGCCCATACATTGATGCATGGACATGAAAGTGATCAAAAACATCTATATCTCAACTGAGGACTGGTAGCCTCAAAATCAGAATCTTCACATTCCTGACATTGCAGCAATCTGTTTAGTAGAGAACCTAAGCAACATCAATGTTATCATTATAGTCGCTGGATGGATTGTATATTAATATTATATTAATTTCTAGCTCAACTTACTATAACTGTACAGATCTCACTAGGCCAGCTTTAGATTCCTGCTGAGCTAGTTCTAATCGCGTGTAAACCGACTCCAACGTCTTCCTCTATAGCAATAATCTTGTGACCTATTTCTCCAATACTCAAGAATTCATCTGAAAGACCTTTGCATTTCAGATAAGCGCACTATTATTGTGTCCAGTTTAGCCCACTGTGATTGTTGAGCATACCTGATTATTCGACCACTGTTACCTCCGCTCATGTAAACTAGAGCCGTCTGGTGAATAGAAACGGGGCGAACAGAGCAAGAAGCGAGCATCAAGAAGCCGCACGTTTACCGCGCTTACACATTAAATTCGGAGAGTATTTTTCCGCATATTTCCCAAGTATCGCTGGTCGGTCGGTGGCGAGTGCCTGATGCCTCGACGTTGTCAGATCGACTGCCGCGCATCTGGAATGGAATCTAATCGATTCGGGGTCGGGACACACGCCGATACGCCACCGGTTGGTTTGACGAAGGGTCGACATGCCACGGATGGGTTGCTCCTTCTCCTGTTCTGATTTTGCCTGGATAAGACCGCCGAGATACCGAGAAGCTTTTCCGACTGAACCCTCTGGGCGTACGGGGCCGGGCCCACACATGCCCAAAAATCAACTGTCGAACCCGGTTTCTAGGAAACCCTCGGAATCGATTCCTTCATGTTGAAGGGAATGGATTTTTCATTTCCCTCTGAGCCATCGCTCCTTTGGGAAAGCTCATTCAGAATTGAAATCAAAGTGAGATGGTCTGCTTACGCGATTTGTCGTCATCAGCAGTCATTGCTATATAATATAATGGTAATTTTAAATATGCTGACTCGAGTCGATATAAAATGTTGTCTTAACCGTGTAAGTACACGGGCCTCGCTTAGGACTTCGGCTTGCTAGAGGTTAAATGCCCAAAAGCAAAATAGGGCCTTGGTTTTTACCCAACTAATCGTAAATAAAAAGTGAAGACAGCTAGAGGTGTCTCATCTTCTTTGGGTGTCCGTTGGGGGTCTGTCTTAGGTCCTTTGCTGTATTTAAGATATAAGTACTTTGGATTTACATTGTCGTTTGAACATT